TTTTTGGCTGATATAAGGTTTAAAACTTGGTTAGTTGGACAGTTTTTGCAGTGAGCTCACTGAGCTGCAGCCGTTAGCGACACGCTAGCTGAGCTAACCCTGTGAGTGTCAGAACGTTCAGAGTCCTCAGGTGCTCCCACCTGTCCTCAATCCTCCCGTTTAATTCCAGGTTTCCAGCCCTGACCCCAAACATCTTCAGCTGAACATTTATAAAAACAAATAAAGTGCGTCACGACAGCACAGAGACATTAATGTCATTATGTTACATTTAATCTGTATTTGTGAAAATAAGCAGAAAACTTGTTTTTTCTTTCATTTCAGGAGCTTAAAGCAACAGTTTGATCAGTTGAACAGTTGCAGCTCAGCGAGCTGAAGTGATCCACCCTCCTTAAAATCACTTTATACTCAGATTATGTATGAAGCCTTATCGTTTCTCTTCTCTTTGTCTCTTTATATTTATTATCAGTCATCTGTTGTCAGTTCAGAGCTGACACTCCTCTGTTTGTCACCAACACCGGTTCTTTGTGACCGATGAGCAGAACTGAAGTTTTCTCTGTAGTTCATGTAGAAATGTTTCCTTAGGATTTTTATTTTTTTTTGTGATTTAGTCATTTATGCACAAAGCAAATCATGTTGCTGTTTTTATTCCTGCTCTTCCTGTCAGATCTGATTGTGTAACGATGTACAGTCTGAGTACTTATGAACTATTTTTATCACAGTATTATTTATTGCTTACTTTCAATAAAACTGAAACTTATTTTCCACTGCAGCTCCGAGGCTGAACGTTTCTTTACTGTGACAGAGGAAAGGACTTGGAGCTGATGTTTATAAAGTATTACAGAAAAGACTTGTTTTTTTATTGAACAAGTTAATTATTTATTTAATAATAATAATAATAATGACTGAGTGCAGACATGTTTTATAACTGTGTCAAAGGAAAGAGTTCAAATTAATTCACAACCAGAGGATGAACTCTTGTTTGTCTCCATGTTTGAAACAATCTGTACGACCAGTTTATCTTCTGTTCTAAAACATGCACCCAAGTCTTTTTACAATAGAATAGAATAGAATAGAAATAGTCTTTATTGTCCTGCAGAGGGTAAATTCATGTGTCACAGCAGCATCTGTCACACACTACTTTACAAACTAGAGAGTACACAGAAACAAAATGAACACTGACTAGCCATGATACAACTACCAATAATAAAAATATAATATAAAAAATGTGCAAGAGTAAAAGAAAAAAGATGTTTAGTTTTAGAGACAGTAGACTATCAGGATCTGACAGTAGGAATTAGAAATATCCTGTTTTCAGTGTAAAATCAGACATGAAACAGATGTGTAATTACAGCAGAATTACTTTAAAAGTTTAAAATGATAACAGATCAGCTGGTTGCTCAGATTAGTGATGAGTAGTGACAGTAAGTACAAATGATTGTGCAGCAGCAGGTGTAAATAATTATTGTGGTTTTTGTAAACATTGTGATTTTTGAGCGTGGTGCTGTTATAGAGTCTGACAGCTGCTGGGAGGAAGGATCTGTGATGACGCTCCTTTGTGCACCTCAGATTTTTGTGTCTCTGGTCAGTTCTGCCTCATAAACCTGAGGCTGTGTGCAACTTGTAATTTTTAATGCAAGTTTGCTCATTGTAGCAACGCCTGAACCAGGGAGGAGAAATCTCCTGATGCATCTCAGTAATCCAGGTAAAAAATCAAAGGAAAAAAAATTGTATAG